AACTCAGTGGGGACAGTTGGGGGGTGGGGCTGGAACCTCGTTCTAAAGCTGCCGCCTGGCTCTCAGTTCTCTTAAGATGCAAAACTGTCTCCAGTTTTTTTGCCCTTCTTTCTTACTTTGCTCTCATTCTTCCTTCCTTATCTACCCATCATCCATGCATCCATCCATCCATCCATCCATTTATCTTTCTGCCTGTCCATCCATCTGTCTGTCCTCCATGCATCCATCAATCTCTCCACTCATCCACTCATACTCCTATCCGTTCATCCATCTGCTCTTCCCCCTAACATGTATTTGTTGAACGTCTCCTATGCATTGGATGTGAGAATCAAAAGGGTAATAGAGCCAGCATCCTCTCCACATGAGACAGCTCCTAGGGCAGTAGAGAAGAATGTTAATCAAGCAGTACAAGGTTGATGTATAATTACAAATTGTGACAAAGGCTCCAAAGGAGAAGACCTAGAATCGTTACTTTACCGTGGTAGTGTCTAACAGAGGAATTTGGCCTAGTCTCTGGATTGGAGGGCAAACAACAAAAACCCAACAAGTGGTCCAAGCAGAGGGATCAACACATGCAAAGGCCCTGTGGCTCATGTTAGAAGGTGTCAGGAGGAGGGAGTTGCCAGTGCAGAAGGTGATGTGGAGAGTCCGGAAGGATGACTGGGAAGGGGCTTGGTCTCTGGCAGGCACCCGCTCCTTTACACTGTCTGGCTCAGCCTTACTCATCCTCTAGGTCTCAGCTCAGAGATTTTCTCTTCCAAAAGCCTTTTCTGCCCCAAGCAGTGAGTGAGGCCTATTCATTGTCCTCTAATGAGAAAAAGTATCCATCCCAAGGTTGGAAATAAGGCAAAAGAAAGCGACATTTGCATTGGCTGCTATACCGAGGCATTATTTAAAAGAGCCATTAAGATTAGTTCATTCTTTCAAGGGATGTACCTGAGTCTGCCTTTGCTATTTAGTCAGGGCTCAGATTTTACACAGGTGTAGTACATACTAACTTGCAGATTTTGTCTGGTAGAGGCACAAATGGTTTTCATTTGGGAAAAAAGATAACTCCAAAGGTGTGGTTTTATCACCTTGTTAGACATTAGCCCATTTTTATAGCTAACCTACACCTTTTATTCTCACTTTCCTTTTCTGAAAGCCTGTAGACCTGCTTGGTCTTAGAACTGGTGCTGCCTGCCTGCTGGTCCCTTTTCTGGTGAGCTTGTGCTGCACATTGGACAACCTCTTCCTGCAGCTCTCCTCTCTGCCCTGGGATTGCCAGCTGTCCCCGCTTCCTCATTTCCCATGAGCTTGTACGGGTGTGACCCATTTTTTGCTCACATCCTACTCTCAGAATTTTGCACAGGGTCATGTTCCCAGTAAAAACTTGACCAATCATTATTAGCTAAATGAATGAGCTTATTTCATCACTTCTGGGATCTTATCTTTGAAATGGACATCACAGCACCAATCTGCAAAGGATGTCAAAGCTTTGTGAAATAAGGAATTCAAGGAGCCAGGATTCTGTCTGGCGTGGGCTGAGTGTAGCTTCTCTTATCCTGGAGGCCGGATCCCAGATACAGCATGAAGTTCTGGGGCTCTTGGTCTGGCGCAGAAGACACCACGTCACGGGGGTGTGGCTCACTGCAGAGCCAGGGCAGATTCTGCTGGTATTGGTGAGGCAGAAAGCCAAGGCAGAATGTCCCACGGTGGCTGGAGAGAAAGCAGAAATAGCCTTTAAAAAGTCAGGCAGAGGTGTAGGAGGGAGGAGCTGAAAATTCGGCAAGGTGTTGACCCTCAAAATTGGTTAAAAGGGAGCCATTTCAGGCAAACGAGGCGGGGAGGGACTTGATTGTTATTTCAGCCAGAAGAGACCCAGCGCTGCAGAGCTCCTGATAACCTGAGCTTGCTGTGTGTGGGTGTGATGCGGGTGTGGAAGCGAGGGAACGTCGGTGTGGCTGTGTGTATGAGCAAATGTGCCAGTGTGAAGATAGTTGTATGAATGTGTGTGCACACACACTTGTGGGTGTGCATTGAGCACCATCAGTACCACACTACTGCAGAGGGTGTGAAGTCTTTTTTCATTTAGTCCTCACCAGGCCCCAAAGGTGCAGACTGTTACTGTCCCCACTTCACAGGTGGGAAAACTGAGGCTCAGTGGTGAGGCATTTGTCCAAGGTTGCAGGGCAAAGATTCTGGGCAGCTGCCTCCACGCACATAGTGGAGGGAGGAGGGCTGAGGGCGTAGGGTGTGTGGCAGGGAGAGTAGTTAAGGGAGTCTCAGATGAAGGGATGACAGATAAATGGTTGTCCTTGTAGCTGTCCTTGCTCTTCCTGCCCGGCTGGGCACTTTTTCTTTCCTTGTTTCAGGTGCTATTTTGGTCCCTGAGATGCTATCTTTCAAATTAACTCAACTGTACTCCTCGGGCCCCTCACCTGCACCAGACCCTGGGCTGGGTTTGGGGACGAAAGACAAGGCATTAACGCTGTTTTAAAGAAATTGTCAGACGGGGGCAGGCATCAAACATTGGGGGAGGTGAGGGGGCAGCTGTCATTTTAAAAATTTGAGGTATAACTTGCACACGGTACTGCGCAGCCTGAGGGGGTTTTATATGTGTGAACCCCAAGGGATTGTCCCCGGGCGCACGCTGAGAACATCTGCGCCCTCAGGCTTCCTGGGCCTCTTCCCAAGGGTAGCCGCTCTCTGACCTCTGTCACCAAGGTTTTTCACAAAAGCATTTTCAATGTCATAATCTTGTGTTTGGAAAACAAGCCAAGACCCCGGGCAAATGCAGTGTGATGTGACAGGAGGCAGCAGGGACCTCAGCAGTGACAAGCCCGGCCCCTGGAAGCTCAGGGTGCCTCGGCTGCCTAGTGACCGGGCTGAAATTCCGAAGCTTCAGTGGTGAGACCCCGAGTGATTTCCTGTCTTCCAACAGGGTCCTGTGTACACACAGGGTCCTGTTGTCTCTCTGGGAGCCTCCAGCTCTTCCAGCAGAGGGTTTTGGCAAGATGCTTAATCTATGCCTCAGTATCCTTATTAAATGGGCAGTAGTCACAGTATGTATCTTATAGGGTAAGAGGACGGAGGGAATTGATATTGAATAAGTTGATCTTTGTACTGAGTTTAAGAGAGTGTCTGGTACGTAATAAGTGTTTATCTAAAAATTAAGTGAAAGAAATGTGGGTCCAGTCTTGGCTTTGGGAGCACACCAAAGGACACAGGGACCTTCGCAGCTGGGTGCTCTCTGTGGGGAAAGCTTTTCCCGAGCACAGTGCTAAACGGGTGAGGACTCTGGAGAGCAGAAGGCAGGGGCCTTGGGCTGGGCCTCCCTGAGGGAGGGAGCCTGAGCATCCTTCTCTGCTCCAAGCAGGTGCCCGATAAACGCCAAACGCTTGACTGATTTTCTGGTGGGCAGCACCACTTGGCGCCCATCAACTTTTGTCTCACCTGCCAGGCTCCAGCCCCAGAGATCTGCACTGTGGAGAAGCGGCATAAAAGTCATCCCCGGGTCTCCTCGCCCAGACACACAGTCCGTCAGCCCCGCTTCCCAGGAAATGCCAGGCGCTTCCCTGCCCCCTTGGCCTGGATTCACGCCTTGCACCTCAACCCTGCAAGCAGCACATTTATTTCTCGGCCTGGGCCCTGAGGGAGGCGAGGGCTGAGGGTGGGTGAGGGCCAGGAACCTGCTGAGTTCTTGGGCACAGCCAAGGTCCTGGCCTGCGAGGCAGGTGACCTCTCTGAGCCTGCAGGAGGCTCCTTGGCTCTGGTGATCCTGACCACACGGACGGGGTGGGGGGTGATCCCCAGTAGGTTGAACAGAAGTCCTAGCCTGTCTCAAGAGTCACTGTGTGAGATAGGCCATGTCAATATGCGTTTCCAGAGCCTCCATGTTCCTCTCTGCAAATGGGTAGGAGCATAGCTATTCAGAGTGAGGGAGGCTGTCAGTACAGGGTGCTGGGGAAGAGTCAGGTCCCCGTTCCAGCCTGGGGAAATGACTTCTTTGTCTGTTTCCTCATCTACACAACATAGAGAATGAGTTCCTACTGCACACGGCTGATGGGAGGATGAAAGGAGTTAACAGCTGCACCGTACCCATCATCGCTCTTGTCAGCTATTTGTTCTACAGTCTATTCTTATATGAGATACGTTAATCATCGACTCAGTGGTCAGGAGTCTGGTATCAAAGTCAGGCAGCTGGAGTCTGAAGTCCAGTCATACCACATCACCCATCAGCTGTGTGACTGTGTGTAAGATGTACCACCTCTCTGAGCCTTGTCTACAAAATGAGGTCCATGACAGTACCAGCCTCACAGAGTTATAAAGTTTACTGGTCTCAATGTAAAGTGCTATGCATAGTAAGCACTGATATGAATTCTAGATTGACACATTATTCCATTACTGTATCAATCATATTCTAATAGAGGGAAGAGAAGGAAACTAACATTTACTGAGCACCTACTATATAAGCAGTACTTGCCACAGTCTTCTGCTAAGGATATTGTAGGATAAGCATTAGACCTGCACTTGGTCAGAGGGAGGCTGGGGCTGCAGCGAGCCACTTCCCCAAGAGCCTCCAGGAGTGGGGGCCACAGGCTCTGCAGGGCTGGGGGTCAGCAAGGGCCTGCCACGTGACATGCATGGGGCTCAGTCCTGGTTACCTCCTTAGGAACCCTATGCTCCCAGGAACCCTAGCAGGGGCTGAGCTGCCCCCCATTGTACAGATGGGCAGCTTGAGTCTCAGGGAGGTAAGTTGTCTGAATTCCCACGGCTATGAAGCGGCAGAGCCAGGATTCAGACTCAGTGGTCTGTCTAGATGTCTGTCTCAAACCTACACGGCCTCCCTCCACCCTGGGGAAACGAAGGGTTTATTCCTAAGAAGGAAGAGCAGTCCAAACACTGCAGATTGATCCCTAGCCTGGGGCCTTGCCTAGGTGCCTGGGACAGGAAGATAGCATCCTCTAAGGAGGTCCAAGGACAAAAATCGCAAAGACAAGGACACACAACACCCAAGATATCATTGTTACCCAGAAATCTTTATTACAAAAATATTTTGCAAGCCAAAAAGTTTAAGTTGCAACTATATACAAAATGGGGCCTGTTTCCTTCCCAACGGTCTGAAAATAAACTCCTGAAACCACACTCCTTCCGCAGGGTTCTTTCAACCTCTTCCGTTTCCTGGGGCTCCATACACATGGCATGAAGACACTCCAGGCTGCCCAGCCAAGGCTAAAGCCACACGCCTGCCTCACTGGCCTCATTCCCTTACCCGCACCCCCCATCAAAAGAAAACAAAACTGAAATGGCATCAAGAAAACATTCTTTTAAAATACTGTGTATGTGTGCCTGGACACACACACACTTGCACACACGCATGTGCTCTCTCTGAGCAGCAGAGGGAGGTGAAGGTTTGCAAGCCAACCCTTTGAAACTGGGAAACAGCTTGGGCAGGTGGCCGGGGCACTGCAGCTCCCAGATGCCGTCGAGGAGCCCTGGCTTGTTCAGCCAATGCTGCCCACATGGCCTGTTGGCTCGGCATATTCCTGCATGCCATCGTGTACAACACCAAGTCAACGGCCACAGAGCTGGTCTCTGCCGAGCTCCTAAAGTTCCTCCGCTACACCTGCAGAAACAGGCAGGATGGCTCAGCTTCTTGCCCGGACAGCCTGGGCCCAGAATCACCCGGGCCTCCTACAGCCTGGAGTCATCGGCATTAGCGTCTTGACTCAGTGAGTTATAGGTGGAGACCCAACCACCAAGGTTGTAGCACTGCCTGGCCCAGGGCCGAGGCAGGCCCTTGCACCCAACTGGAAGGGAGGGGTCAGAAGGTAATGTGGTCACAGCCTCAGCCCAGCCTGAGAGGGACAGAGGGTAGACCAGCAGTGGCTCACAGCTGAGCTGTACTGGCTATGACCAGGATCTACTCCAGTTTCATCCCAATGGGGTTTGAGAGCAGAAATGGAAGATCAGCTCGGAGAGCTGGAAGGGAGCGATGGCTACAGGGGTGGGGCAAATGGCCCAGCTCAGTGTCACCCCCTCTGCACGTCCCTAAAGTACTTGTGAGACGGTGGGGAGGGTGTCACTGTCCCTCTCCCCTCTTTACGGAAGAGCAGACTGAGGCATCAGATCTGGACGAGGCTGTGGCGTGAGAAGCAGTGGGCAGGTGGAGCTTACCACAGTCCCCTGCCGCGTGGCTGGGCCCAGAGAGAAGGCTGAACCGAGTCCCAGAGAGAAGGCTCAATGACTGTCCCCACTACACAGCTGAGGGACAGTCCTTCCCCATCCTCGGGGTTCTGGCCCTTGGAGGAAACTCAGCTTCTGCTGCAAGAAAATCCCTCCAGGACAACAAACCGTTAAAACCTCAGACTTCACAAGACCCAACCAGAATTTCAAAACATGACAAAGAGCCAAGATAACATTGCTTTTGTTTTAAGAAAAAAACAAAACAAAACAAAACAGAACACCACAGATCAAGTTTTCTAACACCTCGGCTTCAAGATTGCACAGTTCACATTTCTCGATAATTTACAGGCGTCCACAGCGATGCTGCTGAGTTAGTGCTAGCTGGAGGAAGCAAGCTTGGGTCTGGAAAGGAGAGGTAGGGCCACACAGAGCGCCCCATCAGCCTGATCAGTGCCCTAGGAGTCACAGAGGGGCCCAAGGTGGGGGCAGGGGGGCAGGACCATCGGCAGCAACCTCGCCATGTCTTGGGACGCAGATCTCAGTTTTTCCAGCTTCTCCAAGGATGGAGCAGTTCGATCTAAGGGGAAAATTTCTCCGAAGCCCCAGGTGGGTGGAGGAAGCAGGAGGACGTGGAATCTCCTCACCCTGGAAGATCGGGCTCCAGAGCATCGAGGAGGCAGCCCAGGGTCTCCGAGACCTCAACCAGGACAGTGCCTGATGATCAGTGGCACAAGTTCTTGGACCCCAGGTGGCTCTGGTCGGCTCCAGGCCACATTCCTGGCTGGTTCAGCCACATCGATCTGCAGATGTGGGACAGGGTTGGGGGCAGGGCTGTCCTGGATGAGCTGAAGAGCCAAGCAGGGTGGCAGACAAGAGCCGCCCTCACTTCTGGTCCCAGGGCCTGCGTCACGTGGCCATCGAGAACTGGCTGGCTGTCCTTATCACGGCCCCTCCATGTGGGACAAGAAAGCTCGTGAGGACAGGCCTGAGGCTGAACAGTCCCACTCACTTCCTCTGGACCTGGACACTGGCATACTCCGAGAAGGATGGCTCAGGCTTGGGGGTGGAAGGCTTGGGTGCCCGGTTGAGGTGGACCATGTCCAGGTCAGCGTAGGTGAGGGTGTCCTCTGGCCGGGGCGGCGGCGGGCAGGTCTGAATGCTGGCATACTCCGTGTGGTTGTTGGACTCGGCGGCCCGGGGAGCAGGCTTCTTCTCCTTGGGCAGATTCAAATCTGCATATGTGATGTCGTTGATGTCATTTGTGTCCTGGATCTAAAGGAGATGGAGAGAAAGCCATTCTGGAACCTTCCATCTGCTCACCCATTAACTGGGTACCAAGCTGGGTGAGTCCTGGCCCCATGGGCTCAGCCCCAGATTAGGCTCTTTCTTTTGTCAAAGTTACCTGGCACCAGCCTTACTTCCTCCTGATGGGCCTTTCTGAAATGCTAGTGTGCTCACCTCACAGCCTGCATCAGCAGCACCTCTCAGTGGGAATCACCCACAGTTTTCACCTCTCTTTTCCCACATCTCTCTCTGTCCAGTGTCTGCCTTTCTTTCTCCTCATAATGAATTTTAATGCACCATGTGCATCTCAGTCCACACATCACTCCATCCTAAAGATGCTTCCCTGCCCTTCCTACCCTCCCTGCCACTGGCTGGGCTCAGGGCGCAGGCCTCTTCCTCACCGCACCCACTGCCTGGGACGGTATTTGCTTTGGGGCCTGAGGAGATGTGTGGTCTCACAGGGGGTGAGGGCACTCATTCACTCATGTTTTTATTCAACAAATATTCACTGGTCATTTGTTATGATACAGACATCAAGGCTGGCACACAAGTGCCACTCTTGTTAAAGGGACGAACAGATGGCTGGCTAATGGAATGGATGGATGGATGGATGGATGGATGATTGGGTGGATGAACTGGAGGAATAAGAAGGTCTGGGTTTGAATCCTGGTTCTGCTTTTTCTATGTGAAGGACTTTGGGCAATTCATTTAATCTCTCTGGGCCTCAGTTTCCTCATCTGTAAAATAAGGAAAATTATGGTTTCCATCACCAGGGCTGCTATGAGGATCAAATGAAATCATCCAGGTAAACATTTAGAACAGAAACTGGCATGTAGTAATTTCCTTCCTTCCTTCCTTCCTTCCTTCCTTCCTTCCTTCCTTCCTTCCTTCCTTCCTTCCTT